ATTCCAGAAAACTAGGCATTAATGGAGTGATGAAGGTATGCAGCGACTTTCGTGTATCCAATCCCTTCCTAATAACACATTGTAACTAGTAAGACCATCTATTACGAAGAAGACTGTGGTCCTAGTAGTTGTCCCTACAGTTATGTCCAATGGCATAACCCCTTTAGTTGAAGTTGCTCCTCCATTGAAATTTGTAAGGATGACTTCTGTTGGAATCACATCACTTTCTGTCTTTCCAAACTTCTTCATCATCCTAGATGGAATGATGTTTATAACTGCTCCATTATCAATAAGTACTTTCACCACAGGTATACCGTTAACTAAAACCTTAACGTACAATGATCTCAAGTGTTAAGTTAACTTCATGGTTGGTCTCTTAAAAATAACCTTTTCGGCAGTATCTATTTCCACTTCCTGCTTGTTCTCTGTTGAATTATCCTTTTGTGATAAGTCAACGTGCAGTATGTCGCACTGAGCTTCCGCTTCCTGAATTTCCTTTTTATTGTTTTCTAATGCTTCTTCTTCAGTTACCCAACTTGGGAGAGGAGACATTATTCTTGGAGGTGATCCATACTTTTCAGAGCGAGGTACTCTCTTTTTCCTCTTGGACGTCCCGTACAACACGTAATAATCGAAAGAACGCCCAGATGGTTCCCCCAACAAATCCACTTCACGAACTCCCTCTCGATGTAGTTGTTTCAACAGAGTATTGTGCGATACTCCTCTCTTTCTTCTTTCTGCTTCCAGATCAATTTCATCTTCGATATTCGTCATACCATCATCATCTTCACCATTGTAGGCCCTTCCAGAAGTTTGGCCTTCTTCACATTCCAGCACACATGCTTCTTCCTTATTATCCCCCATTTCTTCTTCTTCTTTCTTTTTGTTTTTGAACTCATTGGCTAGTAAATAGTTATTAGCCATGATAGGAGGTAACATACCGAACTGAATAGTAAGGGGCTGATCTGGATCTTCTCTATCTTTTCTACCTCGCTCAAACTTCGATCTCTCTGGCAATTCTTCCATCGATTCACCCGTACCAGTCTCCTCATTATTTTCGAGAACATTTTGATTGGCCACTTTGAGTAGTTTAGGCGCCTTAGGACGTGGCACTCCCTGTGTTGTCTCATCATTCGTCCATAATTCCGTTGAAAACACTTTTGTTGGGTTCTAGTCATCTCGTTGAAGGGTATCATCCTTCCTGCATTATACTGGAACGAATGCCATACATTTGGTTGGCAAGGTTGTGGTCTGAATGTTCTCCCATTATTTATTAACCTGAACTGCCTCTCGAAAGGCGGTCCCCTATAGAATGATGTACCTCGCCCTCTACTAGGCTGAGCGTTTGAGAAATAACTAGGGCGATGGTGATGCTGTCATATCCCTGGTTTCTCTGTATTTGCATTCACTTCTTTTTTACATGTTGCACACAGGACGTCTTCATCCTTTTCGGGCTCCTTCCCTTTGATACATTCAAAGACACTGAGATGTGGCCTAGGGTCCTCTTTTCCGTCATCTATAACCAACTTAACTTTTGGCAACTTATTTTTGAAACCAGTCGTTACCATGTTCACCCCAAGTGGCTGTGGAAAAAGATTTTCATCCACTGCCATATTCTTCTTATCCTCGAACGTAATTCATCCCAATTCAATGACGTCCTGTAACACATGGCGAAAAACCAAACAGTTGTTAGTCAAATGCTACTATGCATTATGCCACTTACAATATTTTTTACCCTTGATTTGTTCAGGGCTTGGCAACTTATGTTTATCGCTTAACTTTATCTGCTTATCCTTATATAGTTTATCAAATATAAGGTCAGATTTAGTTACATCGAACGAGAACGTTCTAACTTTCTTGTTTTCATCTTTTATAGGCTCATCCTTGCTCGACGATCTAGGCTTAGCCATTATAGGACAAGTATACGCATCTCCTTTGATTAATTCGGCCAAACACATTTCGATTTGATCGTAATACTAGTCATTAATGGTATGAACATCAAAATTTGGGTCTCTATAATAAGTCCCCTTGCTAGAATTTTTCATTTGCTCTTCTTCTCTTATTAATCGTTCATATCTAATCACGTTTACGCTCAATTGAAAAAGATCAGGAAATTCCCTGTCTTGGAATTTCTTTTTCAAATCAAAACTTAGACAATTTTGAGCGATTTTAACAAACTCCTTTTCGAGCAAAGGTACAAAACATTTATTTCTTGCTGTCTTGAACCTTTGAAGAAAACCTTCTACCCATTCGTTTGGAATTTGACGTAGATTCGTCAAATTGGCCAAAGTAACTTCAGACTCAATCTTATAAAACTGAGCATGGAACAATTGCTCCAATTGTTGCTATGTTTGAATAGAGTTTGCTGGCAAATTGATGAACCAAGAGAAAGCTACTCCTGTTAATGAACTAGGGAACAACCTCATTTTATGGTAGTCTGTTACTTCACCACTTTGCAGTGTGAATTGCCCTATGTGTTCTAGAGTAGATACCTCTCCTAAACCGGTAAATAATGAGAATTCTGGTACTTTATATCCTCTAGGCCATGGATGTGCTTGCTCTACCCAATCAGGGTATGGTTTTGTGTAAGTCGGCCTAATGATAGGACGTACCCCAAAAGCCATTTGATTCTGTACTATTTCCATAATTTGATTTATCAACATGACGTTGAGGTCATATGGAATTCCTATGGTTGGTTGGTCGGTTGATTTGCCTGAGGCCTGATGTTTGGTCATTGGTTGGCAATAAAGTTGTCATGATTTGGGTCATTGTTACCATTAGCCTGAATATTTATTCCATCATTGACACGTGGGATATTCTGTCCATTACTTAGGACATTGTCTCTTATATTTAGGTTACCCCCCAAGTTAGATGTACCATTACCATTATTCTGATTTGGCCTTACACCATCCCCCTGAATTGAAGTAGGTGGATTAAAAAGTGGTTCTATCCCCTGACTTGGACTTAGGACTGGGGAATTATGTCCCACGATTATCCTAGCTTGAAAGTGATTTGCAATAGGCACAACTGGCTGACAAATTTGGCCTACTAACTTATTCATTATTTCATTTAATGTATTCAATTGTTTGGCCATGTTGTTATAATATGTATTCCCATTCTGGGTAAATCTTTCTATATTATGAACATTTCGTAAATTTACCTGTTCAACGACGTCCTGTGTGAGTTCTCCAAGTAATGCACGCATGGTTCGAGGACTCAACTCTGTCATTAGTTCGTAACGACTGTGATTGCTCTGACTCTGTCCCTCTGTTCGTGGAGAGCTTTGCCGCTCCTCATATCGCTCGATCACAGACTGAACTCTTCCCTAACTTGCTGCTTCCTTATCAGATTTGTGAGACATATTGTTTCACATTTTGTATCTTCAACACCAAACACCAAGGTCCCACTGGGCGTGCCAAATTGTTTCGCGTGGGTAGTCACTAACAATTAAAAAGGAATCAGACGATTGTGTAAGGAACAGACCTCTTGAGACAAAGTCCCAAAAAATGATGTTTTATTGGCAATTATTTACAATTGGAACTAAACAGAATGCCTTTAAGGGGCGCAAGCACACGAGCACTAAAAGAAATGTTTAAGTTTAAACTAAGGAATTGAAATTATATATTCTCTGTTTGAGAGTATTTGATTCGGTGTCATTTTCTTTATGTCTTCTCTTCCTTTTATATTCTTTTGATGATTTTTTCGTGACAAACCGCTTGAAAACTACTCGATTGCTGTATAACTATCCACTTTCTTTATGGTGGCTAACTTGTCGTGGAACTACCGTCCCTAACTGCTGCCATTACTCTTTGTCGTTCAACTGCCTTCAACTGGGCTCCTTGAATCGTGGAATGTGATAAGATCACTCAATAACTGCTTTAATAACTGCTATTCTGAATAACCATAATGTTTTATACTTACTGAGATCCTGGGCGATTCGAAGGTTTGGGTGAGAACGGGGTCATTACTCTGGGCGACCGGGTATTCTATTCGTTCAGATTCTGGGCATCTTGCAAGTTTGGACGATAATGTTACCGTGTTCGTGGGCTTCCACCGCATTCATCAATAATCTTGTTTGGACCTTTATCCTAGATTCCCCAATTGGATTTCACTCTTTGAACTATTTGATTTGGACTGCACTTTTAGTGTATCAACATAATGCATTTTTTGTTTTTGAGATTTTGACTACGGTTTTGGATATTTCACAGCAATGATTGTTGGAATTTGATCTTCAAATTTTGATGACGAGTTTGTTGTTGGCACATGGCACATTTGATCATCCAATTTCATTATAATCCATGTTTTGTTTTGTTTTTGTTTGTTTGTTTTTTTTTTTTTTAAACTTCTTCATCTCCATTTAAGGTTGCATGCAGTTGCTCATTTTTTTTCTAATTTCATCTGATCAATTTATGGGGTTTTCAAGTATATAAGTAAGACCTGATGCATGCATAGTTATCATTAACAATTATTTTTGTAATAATTGTTGTTTTTTTTTTCTTTGTGCCTATAATGGAGTATTAGAAGACTTAATGGAGAAACTGCTGAAGGTCGTTGATGAATTTTTGTGTGGTACTTTTATTCGTGTTTTTGCCATGGTCCATAAATAAGAGAAATTTTCTGATATTTTTGTGGATATTCAACCCTCCATTTGCTTCAGTGAACAATTCATGAAAACTTTATGAATATGCTTAACAATATTTTTAAAAGATATACATCGGGAAGTTAAAGAATCAAAATGTATGTCAATGAAAAAAAGAGGTATATACTGGGATGATAAATACATTACAATGATTGTATTTTTTTTATTTATAATTTTTATCGGATTAGGAGCATAATTGTAAATTTGTTGTGATGTATTTTAATTATGATGTTATTATAACCTGGTGTAGTAATTAAATTTTGAGGTTATAATTACCCTAAGAAATATATTAATTTATGTTAAGAGTATTACGAAATATGTTAATTAGTATTAGTACACGTGTGTTTAGAAGGAAGAGAAGTTGCTTGAAACTACTCTATTTGTTCCTTGCGTAAATTACTCTTACTCTCACGACCAATCCAGCCCCATAAATTTCTAAGGTTTTTCTCATTGCAATTATTTATTGATTATTGCAGTTAGTGAAAATCTTTAAGGTTCATTATCTTTAATCAATTAACAATGGATGCTCAGAGGGCTTTACTTGATGAACTCATGGGTGCAGGTTAGCAGCAATTAAAATTTCGAAAATTTCACCTACGGGTTTTCAGTCATTCAATTTCCGTTTTCATCTATGTAATTTGCACTTCCCATAGCCCAATCAACTATTGAAAACTAAGCTCTGGAATTCGTACTCGAAGTGAATGTTTAATATTATTCCCCAAATTTCTGATTTTGGATCTCCAAAGTTTGAATTTTTTTGCTATGCGATTTACTATCCGAGAGGAGTTTCTTTTTTCTTTTAAATTATTTATTTAATTCAATACACACGCACTTATATATAGAAAGTGTAAATTTTCAGAAATCAATTTTTCGTTGAATCTTACTAATTTTTGTAATTTTTTGTATTTGATGCTTCATAACATTTCTTTTCTTGTTGTGACAGCACGGAATTTGACTGAAGAAGAGAGGAAGGGGTACAAAGAAATTAGATGGGACGATAAGGAAGTTTGTCGATGCTATATGGTTCGATTCTGTCCCCATGATTTGTTTGTCAACACTCGAAGTGATCTGGGTAATCTCTTCATTCATTAATCTTCACAACACTTTTAACATTCTACGTTAAACTAGTCAGCACGTTCACTTTGAAATATATCTTTCCATTTATAAAAATGTGCTGATGTTTTAAGGGCCAGCAAAATATGAAAGAAAATTAACATAGCTGATCCCCTGAACAATGTAATCTCTTTTGGTAATTATTTTAAACGAATGAAGTATTCACTTTGTCTTTTCAACATGCCAATATGTTCATTCCTGTACTCCTATATTTTTGCTTATTAATTATCTTTGCTGCATTCATTTTGCATCAGGAGCGTGCCCGAAAATTCATGATCCGAAGTTGAAGGAAAGGTAATTTATAATAGTTTTATTGACAGTTATATTATCAATGTTCTGACAACGGGATTGCAGCCTCCTTATTTTATGTTCCTATTTTCAAACTCTTTTTTAGCTTGGTATGGTCTTTATCATGTAGGATTGCGAGCTTACAAATTAGCTTCCAATTAACTTCCCATGGAGATAGTGCTATTTATTAAATCGAGATTAGCATTCCATGCTCTTTGATTGTTTTGCATTGAACGCAAACTAATCAATTAGATATCCAATGTGGTCGTACCCTCAGGAATGCCATTGATCTTCAATAGTAAAACTGAGTTGAGTAGCCATCACTTCTGATTTGCCCTATCACAGAGTGTATTTCTATCCCGATTGAGATCATTTTACATAGCTAAGATAATGAGCCTTTGTTATGAAATATAGACTATTAATCAGTCTATTATTAAGGATAGATGCTTTGGGTCTCCATATGAGATCCTGCATCTATTGGGCTTCTGTAAAATTAAATTATGTATTCTGCATGCTTCACGTCTCTAGCAAAAATTATTGCTACTATACAGTTGTTAAATTATTTGAACTCTTAAATTTTCACATTACAATGACTAGTTTTATGGGACTCTTGTTGTGTCCTCTCTTTTATTTAAAAAATTATAAGTATGTTCAAATAATTTTCAGTAATAACCCCCCATCCCCGGTTTGAAACACTTATCTAGGCAATTCAACAATATAATGGTTTCTTTTTGACACTTTTTCTAGTATAATCTTGCATCCCCCTTAAAAAAAAGGGTTCAAGAACCATTGTCCATGATGAATTTTCTGCTAGTCTCTGACATGCTTTTGTCAGCTAATTTGCTTCACTGTCATCTATATGAGCCAACCTCACCTCACAGTTGTATTGAGATTATGTTGTGTATCTCTTTAGTTTTGAGAAGTCCCCCCGGCATGATTCATATGTTTCCAAGTTTGAAGCAGAGCTAGCTCACTTCTGTGAGAAGTTGGTATGTATTCGTCTTTAAGAATTCTGAAGTCCAAAGCCCCAAGTACATATAATTCTTGATTTCTATGTTCGATCATACTTGTTCTTCTATGTCAGGTTTCAGATTTGGATAGAAAAGTTAGGCGTGGCCGGGAGCGTCTTGCTCAAGAGGTTGAAGTTCCCTCTCCCCCACCGATGTCAGCTGAAAAAACTGAGCAGATGTCTGTTCTGGAAGAAAAGATAAAGAACCTGCTGGAACAAGTTGAGTCTCTTGGTGAAGCGGGGAAGGTTGACGAAGCTGAGGCACTCATGAGAAAGGTGATGCTCCATGTTTACAAAAAGATGTACCCTTATTAAATGTATCCTAAAACTCTCAGTTTATAAATGTGCATGGATAACTTTGATACTGATGCTTTTCAGGTGGAATTGCTAAATGCTGAGAAGACTGCCTTGACACAACAACCACAGCAGGATAAATTATCAATGATCGCACAGGAGAAAAAAATGGCTTTATGTGAAATATGCGGCTCTTTTCTAATAGCAAATGATGCCGCAGAAAGAACTCAATCTCATGTTACTGGCAAGCAACATATGGGTTATGGCATGGTCCGGGACTTTCTCACGGAATATAAGGTAATTATTATGCTGATGGATAATTTATTTGGGTACATATGCAAAAGGTTCCATTTGTATTGTGATTATTATTGCAAAATATCATAATATTGTGATTTTTGTTATTGTATTGTATGTGACTTGTTAATTGAATACCGTTATCAGACAGCTAAGGAAAGGGCAATGGAAGAAGAAAGATTAGCTCGGGAAAGAGAAGCTGCAGAGCAGAGGAAGCTAAGGGAAAGGGAACATGAGAGAAGACATGGAAGAAGTGACTCTCCTGACAGGTACAGGTACCTCCATAGGGATTCTGACAGGGAGAGGGACCGATATCGAGAACGCAACCATGACCGAGAAAGGTCTCATGAGAGGAATGGCAGAGGAAGCCGAGAAAGGGTAAGAGGATCAGATTTAAAGTATAGCAGTGCGAGGGACGGAAGAGAAGGAAGTAGGGATAGATACCGTGATAGAAGTAGGTCACGGTCTCCTGTCAGGCACGGTCAAAGGAGGTCATCTAGGAGTCCAGTCCGCTCAAAATAGGGATTATGTAGATTATGCCAGGATTTTGATTTCTGAAGAGGTAGACATTTTTATACTCTCCAAGTTATATGGATGTGTGCTTTGAAGTCTTAAGTTATGTCGTCATTACGAGTAAAATTGTTTTTTGTTGTCACAGCTCTATTAAGACTTTAACATCGCCCTATCGTCAATATAATTACAGGAGAAAAGGTTGAGGTAGGTATCAATTCATTGGCGTGACTTACCAATTTGCATTTTGGTCTATTGTTTGTTCAATGCGTGACAATTGAATGGATCATACTGCTATTGATAGAGAATATATATTTTTCCGAACGTCAAGGTAACAAACAATTTATTTTGTCATCTGCAAAATTTCATTAAGACCAATTTTGTTGTCCTCTTTTGGTTCATTCAGATGCTCCGGTGCAATTTGGATTTCAATAACTTTGGTAACTGCTTACAGAAGGAAATTATTGCTTGTGATTGTTGATTTTGTGCAATTTAACGAGTACATGAATGAGATTTCATGTAGATACCGTGTTGCACTTTCGTGAAGCTCTATTGCGGATGGGGTAAACTTCTCTTACCTGACTCTTTTTCCATCCCTCATCTACACGGTTTAAAATTAGTCGAGCTGTGCAGGTGTAACACAACTATATTAGTGAATGTCTAATTAATTGATAATTCTGTGAAACATGAGATTAGGAATTAAATCTTCCTGTTGGTCTATAGTGTGTGTGTGTGAACATATACAAGGTTTCTTGCCCTATTCGGAGACACTCTTCTGGCACGACGGATCCTCCAGCTTGAAATTGTACTCCTGGCACAAGGATGGGATTATCCACCTCTTGAAAATTATCAGAATCACTTGGTGTCATGAGTTTGTGTTTGGCAAGTTGCCATTTCATTGTTTTCGCAAGCTTTGATTTCTGCAGGAAAGACTTGTTCAGGGTTATTACGTATCTAATCACACTTGCGCCCTTAGCTTGCATCTCCCAGTGTTAGCATCAGCCCAACACTGTGCTTTGGTAGTTGGTTTCTATGTTGAAAGTAAGGTCTAAATTATACTTTTTGCTTCAACTTAATTTATAAATTCTTCAGTTTCTGAGAAAGGTTGCTTATTTGTTTGTTGGGACAATTAATTTTCAAACTACACATTGTAATTTTGCTTGGATTTCATAAATTAGAGATAAGGAAAAAATCGCTTCATTGGAGCCGAGTTTTTAGAACCCTCTTCAACACTAAAAGATATTTGGCTCATGTTCATAAATTATTCATGAACCCTCTCATACATTTTAAGAGACTTACCGGTACTATCACTTATTAATTACTTATTTTTATCTATTTATAATCAAAACACTTTCTATTCTTTCATTGCCTTTGATAATTAAAGCTCGACATAATACTCAAATGAAAGAATAGATGAACCCAAAATTCAAACCCTACATTCGGCTTTTGGGTCAAAGAGGTGATAAAACAGAGCAGTAGAAGAATATTGTGATGACAATGATACCAAAAAATAAAATTGTAGTTACTTATCCCAGGCGTGAACACTGCCAGGAAATCGACCCCGACGATCACATTGGTTCGGATGGTTATATGGATTGTTTTCGACCTGGTTTTTACTCACCAGGACCGGTTTGCTTGGGATTGAAATTTAGTAGAAGTACTTGTGATTGTTGATTTTGTGCAATTTAACGAGTACATGAATGAGATTTCATGTAGATACCGTGTTGCACTTTCGTGAAGCTCTATTGCGGATGGGGTAAACTTCTCTTACCTGACTCTTTTTCCATCCCTCATCTACACGGTTTAAAATTAGTCGAGCTGTGCAGGTGTAACACAACTATATTAGTGAATGTCTAATTAATTGATAATTCTGTGAAACATGAGATTAGGAATTAAATCTTCCTGTTGGTCTATAGTGTGTGTGTGTGAACATATACAAGGTTTCTTGCCCTATTCGGAGACACTCTTCTGGCACGACGGATCCTCCAGCTTGAAATTGTACTCCTGGCACAAGGATGGGATTATCCACCTCTTGAAAATTATCAGAATCACTTGGTGTCATGAGTTTGTGTTTGGCAAGTTGCCATTTCATTGTTTTCGCAAGCTTTGATTTCTGCAGGAAAGACTTGTTCAGGGTTATTACGTATCTAATCACACTTGCGCCCTTAGCTTGCATCTCCCAGCGTTAGCATCAGCCCAACACTGTGCTTTGGTAGTTGGTTTCTATGTTGAAAGTAAGGTCTAAATTATACTTTTTGCTTCAACTTAATTTATAAATTCTTCAGTTTCTGAGAAAGGTTGCTTATTTGTTTGTTGGGACAATTAATTTTCAAACTACACATTGTAATTTTGCTTGGATTTCATAAATTAGAGATAAGGAAAAAATCGCTTCATTGGAGCCGAGTTTTTAGAACCCTCTTCAACACTAAAAGATATTTGGCTCATGTTCATAAATTATTCATGAACCCTCTCATACATTTTAAGAGACTTACCGGTACTATCACTTATTAATTACTTATTTTTATCTATTTATAATCAAAACACTTTCTATTCTTTCATTGCCTTTGATAATTAAAGCTCGACATAATACTCAAATGAAAGAATAGATGAACCCAAAATTCAAACTCTACATTCGGCTTTTGGGTCAAAGAGGTGATAAAACAGAGCAGTAGAAGAATATTGTGATGACAATGATACCAAAAAATAAAATTGTAGTTACTTATCTCAGGCGTGAACACTGCCAGGAAATCGACCCCGAGGATCACATTGGTTCGGATGGTTATATGGATTGTTTTCGACCTGGTTTTTACTCACCAGGAGGTGATAAAACAGAGCAGTAGAAGAATATTGTGATGACAATGATACCAAAAAATAAAATTGTAGTTACTTATCCCAGGCGTGAACACTGCCAGGAAATCGACCCCGAGGATCACATTGGTTCGGATGGTTATATGGATTGTTTTCGACCTGGTTTTTACTCACCAGGACCGGTTTGCTTGGGCTTGAAATTTAGTAGAAGTATAGAAAGAATATTCGTATCTGGGATGTTACATGTGGAATCGACCTGAGTCTATTCTATTCCAAGCATTAAGAAAAGGACAATTTTATTTGTACCAAATAGAATGTATCAAAAGTTGTCCGCGGCACCCCCGTCCCGTCCCACCCCACCCCACCCCACCCACAATGCATGCATGCCCCGTGTGAATATAAAAATTCCCAAATATGGTCTCCACCCTCTATTTTGAGTAATAGGTAAAGGATTAGAGAAAAAAATTATGTACATGTAGTATTGTCATTAAAAAAAATAGGATATCAATATTACAATTTTAAAAAATGATCATATCGAGTTCAATAAAATTATTGTCACTCACGTAAACTTTCCTAAGCCCTTGCTTGATAATCATTAAAATAATTTTTTTTCTCTCAAACTCATTTTTAATCCTACATTCTTACAATAATTTTTTTGCTTGTAAGCCTCAAAATTTTTCCTACTTTTTGATCATATCTGTTCGTGTGATACCCGCAAACGTACGGGATCGTTGACAAGTAATAATAAGTGAGTTAAGAGTTATCGTCTCACAAAAAATAAATTTAATTCAAGTTTATTAGTTTCGTATGAAATTCTAGTTATAAAAACAAAATAAATATTTTGATTTGATTTAAACTAAACTAATTTAAGAAAGCAATAAAAATTGGAGTTTTATCAAATTTTGAAGGATTGTATTGGATTTTGACTCCGCCTATTGCTATTTATTTCAATTCTTGATTCGTAATCTAATTTCTTTCACGAGTTCTTGACAATCGATGGCACTAATATGTTAAATGTTCCTTTTCAAGATATACCAACCTATGATTAACACGACTCAATCCTATTCCTAATCTGAATTCATATGAAAATCATGTATTTAGTTTAAGTTATCAATATGATTGTATGTATGATAGATATTTTTCATAATCCTAACTATACATGTTAATTTTGCCGTGTTCTAGACTCGTTATGAGTATTCCTACATTACAACAAGCAACTAACTATTCAATTGATGGCCAAACAATTCAATAGTGTAATGAGAATGCAAAATTAATCAAATAACACACGAATTAAACTAAATACTTGTCTTGAATTAAAATAAATAAATAATATGATTCATCTCATCCAACACAATGAAAAACTGGCATAACATATTAATATATAAATTACAAGAAGAATAATAGACAAATATCACCTGGATCATGAAAAAATACAAAAGATGTTGATCTTCACGTCCAAAGTTGAATTCTTCAAAACTTGATGTAATTAAACTTCAATTCCTTGCTATGGTTTTATCTTCTCTCTCAAAATATAGCAATTGGCCCCTTATTCTTGATGGATTTGATGCAACTATTGTGTATGAAGAGGCAAGAGAGAGACCCTTTCATTACTGACCATATCTTGTATTTATATGATGAAATTATGTCAAAATTCACGTCCAAATTATATTTCAAAAGAGTTTGAATCAAATAGGGAAAGTTGCCTTCACGCGCACATAATTTTGTCTCTGCACAACTTTCAGTATTTTGATCATAACTTTCTCTTTCGGTGTCCGATTCAGATGATTCAAAGTGTATTGAAAAGATAATTAAAAGATCTACGATTCTTCTAGAAATACAATTTTTCCAATTCAAACGTTCTCCATCCGAAAATGGGTCTCAATTTGACCAAAAATCTTGAAAATATCATATATGATTGGAAGTCAATTTATGGTAATATTCTAATCATATTCCTTTCCTTTTTGACTCCAATTTGCATTCAATTGACTCTTATCAATCTTCAAAGTATCTTTTGCGGTCCAAATCAACCATTAGATATTTATACTTTGGTCCCCATATTTTGGATTTGCTTCATTTAGCCATTTTTCGTTCTTTTTTTCAATTCTTCTTTGAAACATGAACTTTTCCTAATAAAAGCAATAAATAACAATCAGGTACTAATCCGTTCAAAGAATAACAAAATATCATCATTTAAGGGGGTGTATTCAATTGGGACTTTTTAAGACTTTGAGAGATTTAAAAAGTTTCGGTGTATTCAATTGAGACTTTTAAAAACTCTCTAAAAGTTTGGGTGTATTCAATAGAGACTTTTAAATGCTTTTAAAAAGTTTCTATGGAGGGTGTATTCAATTGAAACTTTTAATGACTTTTTGAGATTTAAAAAGCTTAGGTGTATTCAATCGAGACTTTTTGAGACCCTCTAAAAGTCATGGTGTATTCAATTAAGACTTTTATAGACTTTTAAAAAGTCTCTAAAAGTTACGGTGTATTCAATTAAAACTTTTTAGAAGTCTCTATAAGTCTTACGGTATTCAAATTTTAATGACTTCTAGAGACTTTTATAAAAGTCTCTGACGTACTAATTTTTAAGCAGAAAGTACTCATATAATATCTTAAAATCTGTCTCTCATTAATCAAGAGATTTTGGAAGACTTTCACAAAAA